TATATATATATATTTATCTATTTATATACAATTTTTTTAAATACACAATTTTATAAATACTTTCTAAAGTAATTTAAACTATGTATAAGAATCATTTCAATTTTTGTATATTTGAAAGTGATGAAAATTAATCCAGAACTAAGATTCATCGTATAATAAAGATTAATCTATGTTAGAAATAAATACAGAAATAAAAATAGAAGGGAGAGAATTGCATACATCATATTTCGTATTGCATATTGCAGATATCAATTCACATTCAGCTGCCTTGTTCGAAATAATCTCGTAAATTAATCACGTTAAAAGATTCTGTCGACGATAACTCGTTTATGAGTCGTTTCGAGATAATGTAGTTGTTGATTTGCTGAATGGAAATTTTGTGAACTCTCCGTAAGTCTTATAACGAAGAGTAGAATATCAAAGAATAAAGTATAGCAATAACAACCTTACAAAAATATTATATTTTTATATTTTTGGTAAGAGGTCAAGAGTCATCAACGTTACATTTACTAAAAATAAAGAATTTGGGGTGATATTGGGTCATGGACGGAAAGACGGACTCAACCTCCGCGTGCGGCGTACTTTTACAAAGGAAAAAATTCGACAACTTATGTGAAGGGGGTACGCCTGTCCGTGACCTAGCACCATCACCTAAAGCGCAGTGGTGGCCAACTTTACGACGAAGGGCCGATCGTGCCGATATATTTTACGTCGCACAAGTTTCATGCTGACTTTCGCTAATTTCTCATAAATGTAACTTGACTGTGAGCCGTCAAGGATCTCAGGAACATTTCTCATTAAGGTGGCTTCGTTGAAAAGAAATCTCATCACAAAAGCAGCTTTTGTTCAAACGTAGCATATAATTCTGTGTTTCTCGTAAATGTTGAAAGTGACAATAATATCAGAGATGCCTCACGGTTGAGGTGCTGTGGTTTAATGCCCAGATTGCGCAAGCATTCATAAAGAGTAACAACTTACGAAGGTAATAAGATGTTTTCTCTCCTCAGCGTAACATTTTGCCTGTATGTGCTCTGCTGATATCATATTAAAAACCCATTAAGCGTAATTTATAAGTGGAACGTCGAGGATAGCCGATATCATGATCATTCATTTTCTCTCGTATCTGTTATCGTTATCATTTATCATTTATTGGCTTTAATTTGTTCTCTGATATAATCATATAATCGCGCTGATACCGCTGTCTGTGTATTTACGCAGGAGAGGGATTAAGTTCTTCCGCAAATTTCAAAAATTATTCAAAATTATCCAGTTGCACGACGTTTCTAGCTTAAGATTGACAATCGCATTTTATTCGCTTTCATCAAGATACACTCGACTCCTAAAATTGGCGAGACAAAGAGCGACTTTATGAACGCGCGATGCTCACTTTGTCTCATCTCAATTTAAATTGTTATAATTATAACGGAAGCACAGTCATTTACTCTTCTCAAAAGTACATGACGTAATTTCGAGTTAAAATTTGAATTTAAATTTGATCTCCTCAAGGCTGTCAAACTGTCCACGGGCGATCACGCCCATTTTGCATCTAATAACATAACGAGAGCACCTAAAAAGTGTTACGTATCCCCGCTGTTACACATATGACACCGCATACGCCAATACGGGAATTTGGAGAAAGTGCGTCCTTGGCGAGTACTACAATATCATGGTGAGTTTATATAAATGTATCACACATATTACGTAAGGGAGAGACTTTGCAAAGCGACACACGAGAATATCGCACCATCTAGTTTCCTTCTTTTCAAGCGAATTACATTCACCTACACAGTCATATTGAGGGTTTGTGTATAATTTGTATATTATTAAAATATGGAGAGCAAGATTTGATTTACACGATGCTTTTTCTTGTTAATAAAAAGCGTGCTAATCTTTTTAATGAACTAGAAAAGTAGCAGCTAAAAAAATAATTCTATAAAGCTTTTTAGTTCGTTAAAAGATTGATACACTAGTTGCTAGCATCGTGTATCAAACTTAAGAAACGTATATTTATTGTATCGCTTACGTTGAAAAAAAATGCAAGATCGATTTACATAACTCGTAGAAATATCATAATCTTTATATTTTGTATAAAAACAAGTTGCTGATTGCACGCAGGATTTAATTACGCGAACGGCGAATATTGATATCTTTTCACACAAGAAAGATATTCCATTACAGATGCTTATTCAGCGAGAAACGCGACGCGCGCGGAGAAACGGGAGTAACAGGACATAATCGATGAAATCGAAAGTGCAAGCGCATCACGATGTCATCGATACACACGTTTACCTTATTTGTAAATAATGCGTATACTTATCGGATGCGTTGTCTCTCGGCGGGATACCGAGTGTGTGCGGAGTAATCATCGGCGATAAGCGTTGCGCGCCCTCGACGTTTTCTAATAAACCGTACAGCATCGGATCCGCGCGATCTGAATTTTTCGTGCAGGGGAGCCACGCCCGTAATTCGTCCGTGTTCCCCCTCGAGCGACTACCTCTCCTCTTTGCGCCTCCTCTCTTTCGTATATGCTCCTTTCTTAATTTCCCACAAAGAAGTCCCATATACATCTCCCTCTCCCATCGACCATGCCCAATCACCTCGAACAAGGTAGGTGCCCAAAATTCGATTGAACCCCCTACATCTTTACCCGCGTATAAATAGTGGTCGACAGCTACCATTTCGGCAGAAACCCAGTAGTTGTTCCACTTCAGACGAGCAAAATGGCATTCAAGGTAAGCATGTCGAAAAATTGTTTCGATATCTTGTGGTAAAAGTAACAATCGCGAAGTAACAAATTGTAAATTTCAAAATTTTAACGATTTCGGGTAAGAAATATAAAAATAAGAATCTGCGAGGGAACTTGATAGGTGATGTATTCTCAATTACGAATAATCTATTTCGTATACTCTACATTTCTATATTTGTTTATATCTATCATATTTTTACGAATAAAGTGAAATAAATAAATAAATTCTAATCGTTTAATTACTCTCTAAAAGTGAATCAGTGGAATCATCACTGATTTTCAATGTATATCATTTTCCACTGATATACTTTGAATTGTGATAAGCAATGATTATTTCAATGTTGTTTCAGTGATAATATACTGATTTAAATAGTAAATATCACCGAAAAAGAATGATTTTTACTGTCAAACAGTATTGGGAAATGAAATTTGCTGTCTTTCAGAGATTTATTTCAATATTCACCGTTTGAATCAGTATATTATCATTGAAACAACATTTAAATAGTCACTGCTTATCACAGTTCAAAGTATGCCATTGGAAAATGATATACACTGAAAATCAGTGATAATTCCACTGATTCACTTTTAGAGAGTATCTTATATGTTAGATAATTCTATTCTTATATTTCTTTAAAAGTTAAATCTATAAAAACAATACAGAAATATGTATTTGTTAAATTTCACTCATCCCTTGATGACCGATCGATTTCTCCGCAGTTCATATTGCTCGCAGCCTTCGTCGCGGTGGCGAGTGCCGGCGGGCCGGCGGCCTACGACATCGGCACGGTGTCCGCCGATCACAACAGCATCGGCTACAGCCAGGAGTCCACGCAGAAGGGCTACGCCGGCCAGAACGTGGTGTCGACGTACAGCCGCGCCGAGGACTCGGCGCACTCGTCGGTACGCGTGAGCAACAGCCACGTGAGCAACGACGCCCTGCTGGAGCAGCACATCGGCTACAGCTACGCCGCGCCAGCCTTGGCCAAGCCCCTGATCGCCGCGCAGCCCGTGATCGCCAAAACCGCATACGCCGCGCCGGCCTTGGCGACGTACGCCGCTCACCCTGCCCCTGCAGTGCTCGCCAAAGCCGCGTACGCCGCCGCGCCGGCTTACGGTTACGCGGGTTATGCGGGTTATGCCGCCTCCGCGCCCGCTTACGGATACGCCTCCGCGCCCGCTTACGGATACGCCGCCGCGCCCGCTTACGGATACGCGTCCGCGGCCGCGCCGATCTTGGCCGCGAAGACGGCGTACGCCGCGCCGGCGGCTGCCTACGGCTACGCCAGCCCGCTCCTGGCCAAGACCTACGCCGCCCCGGCTCCGCTCATCGCCAAGACCGCCGCGTACACCACCTACGCCGCGCCGGCAGCCCCGCTGATCGCGAAGACCGCTTACGCCAGCCCGCTCCTGGCTAAGACTTACGCCGCCGCCCCGGTTTTGGCCAAGACCGCGATCGCCGCCGCGCCGGCTCTCGCGTACTCCGCTCATGCCGCACCGGCTCTTGCGTACTCCGCTCATGCCGCACCGGCTCTTGCGTACTCCGCTCATGCCGCGCCGGGCTTAATCGCCAAGACTTACGCCGCCCCTTACTCGTACGAGACGGCCGCGCCCGTGGTGCACGCCGCCTTCACCGGCTTCGGCACCAGCTACGCCTGGTAAACGACTTCGAGAACCCCGCGGATCTCTCCCGCGAGATCGGGCGCGACCTCTCCGACATTATCGTATCTCCCCTCTGGTACACGCGCAAGATTTTCTACGTACATGTGTATATAATATTTATAGTATATAATATTTTTATATTTATACCTCATTGTATACACGCATACATCCGCATACATATAACATCTACTCTATGCATGAAACTTCCAACAAAATCCCTCACACGAGAAACCTTCACACGGAACACATCTCTTTAAATACAGTATCCACATTTACAGATTAGCGTAGCGAAACAGAAATTTTGCTGTATTAAATATGAATAAAGCGAACTTTTGTTAATACGAGGAAAACTCTTTTACTTTTTCAATTTATCACACACGCAACGCATCGTTTCTTGCGCAGATAAACAGACAGTTTAGTAATGGAAAGTGATCTTTCGTCCTATTTACGAAGTCAATACGAGTATTTCTTGTTTTACACGTTCTTCATCTACGTATGAATATGATTAATCTGGGACGCGCGAAAGAAAGTCGCGTGCGCGCACGCGATTGGGCAGCGAGCACAAAAGACTATAGAAAACGAGCTGGCTGAAGGGTGTATAGAAGAGAATGAATGCGTGTCGCCTAATTTCCAGTTGAAATTCGAAAGAATTTGCATACAATGGATGATCGAAAACTACGTCGATCGTTCCACAACGTTGTTGCACGAAACCGCTTCAATAGTCGGCTTACAGGCCGACTTTCACGTATGACCGGTTTTTCGCGTAAACAGAGACGCGATGACGAAATGATCGATGCGTGATCTAGTTTCTTATTGGATCAGAATTCACTTTTTATTTGGCCGAGTGTATATTGAGTTGATTTATAAATAAGTTTCGCTGTAAGTAATGCATCCTTTCTGAAGATCCTAATTCCATCTAATGATATTTGCGTTTATCTGGTAATAAAGGATTTTGCGGTTGCAAGCCAGCTGCACGCATCGTCTTACAAAATTGTGAAAGCGAATAAAGCGGATCACTTGTTAACATCACGAAAACACGCTTTTACTTTTTAATTAATACATAACCCGTCGTTTCTCGTGTAAGGCATATATAATTTAAGTAATAAAAAAAAGTGACTTTTCAAAATGAAGGATTTAGAAGTACTTGAACGTAACGCTTTAAAAATTTAAAAGAATTTAAGAAAAGTGTTAATCAAACTCAATAGTTCAAAAAATTTCAAATGTATATGATGACGATGTTATAACACAAATCGAGCGGCGCGAAAGTGGTTTATGAATTAAGTTTTGTTCAAAAGATATGATCTCAAAAAATAAATCACATTCCAAACATCATTCCAACTTCAATAACAAATGCTTCAAAATTATTGGTGGAACAAACGTTACACAGCAAGAAAATGAGCAAAGATGTTAAACACACCGCAGCCCATTATGTACCATCGTTTAGAAAAACTTACTAGGTAAAAACTAAATTGTATTTTTTTTAATACTTAAATAAAAATTTATTTGTGAATCAACCCAATAAAAGAAAATTGATTGCAATTTGACGATCCTAAAAATCGAAATTTTTTTTTAGAATATTTCGTGTGATCTATTAATTTTGAGGGAAAGTGAAGTCAAGTCGCAGTCTGTTTTCTTTCTCTTTCATTTGCATTATTAATTATTTACGTTATTAATAATTCATAATTCATGTCAAATGAGCGAAACACAAATACATTCAAATCGATTTAAATAATGATATAATATATATACATTTTTTGTATACTTACAAATCTTAATTACAAAGTAGTTTGTGAAGTTTTGAAGACAGCACGCATGTTCAAAAACCAGGCGTCTTTTAAACACGGTATTTAATTTTTCAATCAAAAATTTTGCAATTTAAAAGAAAATTGAACTTATTTGTGAATCAATCTAACACAATAAACAGTTTGCGCAGTATATTAATTTTGGAAAGTAAATCACAATCTATTTTCTTTTTCTCTTATTAATTTATTGTTGATTTGTTAACGGTGTTAATTGTTGATATGTCAAAGTAAGCGAAACGTGTGCCTCGAAGGATGCATCTTAAATTATATTTTTTTTGTTCTTACGAATCATAATTACATTTCTTTTGTATCACCGAGATGTCCGAGATAGGGGAGAGTGGGCATGAAAGGGTTATGTTTTTTGAAAGAGTATTTCGTATTTCAACTAATTGAATGTACAAGATAAAAATTGTAAAATTTTTATTTAATAGCAACACTGAAATTATAACATCTATGGGTATTTGACAGTCAACGTCAAAATAACATTGTTGTACTTGTTTTAGTGAGAGGTGAAAAATTATTACGACGAAAAGTGAATTTATAAGTTAAATTTCTATATCTTTTAAATTTATTTGCGATTTTATAAAAAGTATTTTAATCAAATGCATATACATTAACGTAATTAAAATATATAATTACCAATTCTTTTGTCTGTTTTAATGCATCAGATATAATTTTGTGATTATAGATTTTTGACTCATAATGTTATGAAAGAGCCAATAGCCGATAGATATTGATAACTATGAAAAAATCCCTAGCTCTTTTATTGCCACTTTATTTAGCTCTTTTATCGCACTTATGTAAATAATTTACTTATTTACTCATTTACTTATTTACTTATTTACTTATTGTAAATAATTTTTCAATATTTCTGCATTAAATGGCATTCTTTACGATTTATATGGTTATACGAGAGCAAATCAATAAGTTCTTAGAAAATCTGTCAGAGAGTACTCGTAGTGTCATGTCACATTACTTTTTGACAAATATCATCTTTCAGCTGATTACTGTGAAATTTTGAGCGGAATTCATCGCGTAATTTCATTTCTGTAGACGATTAAAGCAAACAACCTTTTATTTTTGCAAAATGGAAAAAAACGAGTTTCATGCAGTGATCAAACATCTACATATGAATTAAAGGTTTAACGCCGAAAGAAATCAAAGCCGAGTTGGATAATGTTCATAGTACATCTGCACCAGCGTTTGCGACTGTATACAATTGGGTGAATGAATTTAAACGTGGTCGTTGATGAGGTACATCCACATGTGATGCACCTCGTTCGGAACGTCCAATTGAGACTGCTAGGCCAAAAATCATCGATAAAGTCCACGATATTATTTCGACTGATCAACGAGTAAAAGTGCGCGAGCTTGTTGAAACCACAGGCATATCACATGGTACAGTGATTTCAATTTTGCACGAACAATTGGATATGAAAAAGCTATCGGCAAGATAGGTGCCGCGTTTGCTCACTGTGGACCATAAGCGCGACCCCGGCACCGATGACCAAATTCAACGAATTCCGCTACGAATTGCTTTCCCATCCAGCATATTCGCCAGATTTAGCCCCCTGCGACTATTTCCTGTTTCCAAACCTGAAGAAATGATTCGGAGGAAAGAGATTCACCACCAGAGAGCAGCTCATCGCCGAAACAGAGGCTTATTATTTTGAAGGGTGAACAAATCATATTATTCGGACGGCTTGAAAAAGTTGGAGAATCGTTGGATCAAATGTATCGAGTTGAAAGGAGACTATGTTTAGAAATAAAAATGAATCAATCAAAAAAATGTGTTTTACTATGTCTTTGTAAAAACTTATTGACGTGCCCTCGTATTAATGCTATATATCATTATCGACTCAGCTTCCATATTTCATTCTTCTCAAATTTGATTCAAAATGTCTTTAGACAATACAAATGATTCTTTCAATTTATTTTAATGTAAGAAAATTATGTCCTGCCGTAATTTACGGATTTCGAATAGCCTATTTAATTTTGATAAAAATTTAATACATACATGAAGTATATAACAGAACATATAAATACAAATTTGCAAACTAATGTTAATAAAAAGTAATTTTTGGATTTAAGGCGATGCTGGAAGGTTGGTCAAATTTTTACAAGGTCGATAAAGCAATCTGTTCAATTCATGACAATATTTGATTTATATGAAAATTCTACAGTTTATATGTGCAAATTGAAGGTATGCCACCCTGCGGGTAACACAAAAGAACAACACTGAATTATTAGAACTAGGATAAAAGTAAGTCATATGTAGATTTGCGCATCTACATGAAATCTTTAAAAGTGAATAACTTTTTTTATAGGCTTTTATCCTAGTTCTAATAATTCAGTGTTGTTCTTTTGTGTTATCCGCAGGGTGGCATACCTTCAATTTGCACATATAAACTGTAGAATTTTAGAATTTGAGGGTCTCTTGTGGAAAGTTTTCAGCCGGCACTAAGTCTGATATGGTGGGAATAGATAAACATGTTAACTCTTTGCTGAATTCACTGTATAATGATCGAATAACGATTCAAATGACGCCCTTGGATATGGTCTTTATAGAATTGATCGCGCTGATAGGCAACGAGCACGTCGTTACAGGAAGTTTTAAACGTCTTGCAAAACTTTGGGAATTGAAACTGGCAGTGGCGCATATATCTAATAAGGCGCGACATTTAATCAGATTAAGTTCGCGATCTTGTACGAATATCGTCGCGATGGCCATTAATTATGGCGCGAAGGTAGACGAAATCAATGCAAGACATGTCGCGTTATAATTTTCTTCTCTATCAGTCATGCGGTTCCTTCTGCTTTCGAATCCGTCGCATCGGTTTTTATTGTTGCCGTCGGAAATTTGTCTAACAATAAGTGTAATAACGTATTGTGTCGTTTTTTACATATGGCGCAATTAGTGTAAGTACAAGGCTTACCTCTGTGTGAACGCATACAATTGTAACAGAGTCTAGTTTTTCACGACTTCAATACGCTTAGAAACGTCTAATTGCTTAAATTTTCCGTATTTTAATAATGGGTGTTGTCTGATTTTACACGTCACGCAATTATTCCCTGTATTGACCATAAACACTTTATTAGAGAATCGTCCCCTTTTAACGGAGA